CTGTATATATATATATATATATATATATATATATGTAAAATCTTCATTCTTCAAAATCCTTTCGTTCTTTCACTCGTCACAAAGATTTTATCATTTCACATTAAGCTAATGGTTAATATATATTCTGGAATTAGGTTGTACTTAATTATCATAATCAATGTCTTTAATTGTTTCAGGTTTGATGAATACTTATGAACATTATAAACAAATGTTAAAATTTAATAGAAAGCATGATATTTTTTTGTCAGAAACACAGGCTTTGATTTAAGGAAAAAAAAATAGATATTCTCACTTCTTGAAGGAAGTTATGTAGTGAATATAGCCTGTTCAACGTTAAATATTTTATTTAATAGTTTTCTTTTACAAAAGGTTCCCATAGCTTGATATTATAAAAACTCGACATTAGAAAAATCTACCAGAAAAAAACTTCGTGTCACTTTGGACTAATGCTATTGACAGAATATTGTATATATTTGAACTCAAATTCTACGTATCACAAATCAGAATTTGCTACCATATGAAAAATCATATAAAAAAATATAGTTGAAATACATACCAAATTGCATGTATGTATAGGAAATGGCATTAACAGATTTTTGCTAACCTCGATCAAACACTTTGTTAGGACTTGAATGATTTTGCATTATCGTCAGCTGAAACCAACATATATTTGAGCTAGCACAGTAACATCTTGAACTTATTCAATAAGTCACGACTTGATATTGAGATGTGTGGAACAATATGGCTATGGCAAGTGCTTTATATAATTACCCTATGCCTAAAATTTTCGTTTTATGTAATTCTTTTCTTTATTATAGTTTAATACTAGCTGTTTGAACTTTGACTGCACATATTTGATAAACAATTATTACTCAATCCATGCCACATGACATTTTAAGACATTTGTAATTTTTGTTCTCTAGCGGGTTAGCTAATTTGAATAGTGTTGTTTTGCTTTTTTTAGAAAAAAATCTATAGTTGAATTTTTTTAAATATTAAAGACATCTAAAACATTAATTAATAATATGTGATACAGATCCAGTAAAAATAGAAAATCGTAATAAAGTTTAATTGACTATAAATTTTAACAATGTAATAAAATGAGAAAGTTTTATATGTTTACGTGTTTCAGGCTTTCAGCTTTGAAAAAAATACTTGTTTTTGTAAATAAAAATGTTAAATATTAAGATACGTTTGAAACAATTATGACGGTGAAGTACAAAATAGAAAAAAGAAGAAAAAATATATTTTTATTAAATAGAAATTAAAAATAATTTCAGACATTATGGGGTATCTTGAAATAATTAAGAAGATATATAAACTAGAAAACATAAAGAGGATAATTATAATATTTTTTTTCATTGAATACGAATTTAGAAACTTTAATTACCATTAAATGAAAAATATGGGAATAATTTCTATACTTGTTTGTTAGAAAAATACTTCTTTGTATAATTTAAATTTTTTAAAGGGATTTAAATTATTACAATTAAGATTGACTGACCAATAGTAGATTATTACAATAGTAGTTTATTAAAATAATATTTTTAAAATATACATTTATATTTTTTTTAAGATCGCAAGTATTTTTACGAAAGATAATCATGCTTGAACCAAATAACATTAATATAGGTGATAAAAATTTAACTTTTAATTAATTAATATAAATGCATACTAAGGATTCTAACATATAAGATTATGATTAAATTAGAACAATTTTCTAAGATAATTTATGTGCTTAGTGTTATGCATTTATATATCTAAGTAATATACAATTGCGACTATATTTATAAATAAATAAATACACACACATATATATATATATATATATATATATATATATATATATATATAAAGTA